ATCCTCACTGTGCCCTCTGCCAATGGGCAGCTCCACCGCACTGCCACAGACTTCTATGCTGAGCTACAGAACTCCTCGGACCTGGGCTACAGCAATGGCAACCAGGTGCACGGCTCCAACCAGAAGGAGTCCGTCTTTATGAGACTCAACAACCGTATTAAGGCCCTGGAGATGAACATGTCTCTCAGCAGCCGCTACCTGGAAGAGCTCAGTCAAAGGTTGGTGCCGTCATAAAAGTTTTGTCGAGGACCAGGATTTGTCTTTTTAGATATTGACAATTCAGCAGAAAAGTTTAAAAATTAGAATTTGAAATCTCTGAGGTTGTCCAGGACTAAGTGCTATTGATTTGCATGGCACCAGATTTCCCCACTGATGGTAGAAATTCTAAAAGTAGTGGTTAATGTGGTGTAACACATTTACAATACAGTGTAAAATCTTTTTTTTACAATTTTTCCATTGTATAATATAGCGATCATTATATATATATATGTTTGCGTGTTTCCTAATTCTGATACAAAATGAAGAAGGGATTTAACAATATGAATGTTTAGAAAGGGTGTACCATCATACATTGACTCCCAGTGCTCTAATGGTCTAAATGAAGCTAATACTGACCTCTTTGTATAAAAGTGTATGTTTTTCACCTTCAGCACTTCGTATTGTCTTCCAAGAAAATTACATTTAATTTTTTCATTTCTTATGAAATGACCGTTAATTATTCCCCGTTATTTTTTTCGAAAGGTACCGTAAGCAAATGGAAGAAATGCAGAGAGCCTTTAACAAGACTATTATTCAGCTCCAAAACACCTCCAGGATTGCAGAGGAGCAGGTCAGGGTCTCTTCCTTCATTAAAAGGGTACAGGCAGTCTGTTTGTTTTTGTGGTTGTACCCATTTGTTATCTCAGGACATGCAAAGTGAGTTTTTCAGTCTCTTCAAATAATTACCTATTTTGTTGAATTACAAATGTTTTTATTTTCCTTTGCACAATTGGGGGGGAAAAATGCTTTTTGGATTTTCACTGCAATTTTTTCATTAGGTTCTTGAGTCATTGTTATTGACTTATTAATCAGGTTTGTTAAAGTAATTAGCTAATGTTGATTGCATGTGTATTTATCACGTTTTTGGGTTTTTTGTTTGCCATTTTAATTTACATTCAACTTATGGTACCCATAAAAGTATTCAGTTTGGTCATTCAAGTTTTGATTAGAAATATTCATTACACACATTTGTAATGTGAATATTGTTCAATTGTTGAAGGGGTGTAAATACTTTTGCAGAGTTCTGTGAACATCCACTTACTATGAACCAAAAGGTTGCTAATTAATTCACTGTATGTAAACTATTTAAGTTACTCCCTGAAAGTTTGCTTTTTTCCCTTATGTTCCTTAGGACCAGCGACAAACCGAGTCAATCCAATTACTGCAGGGCCAGCTAGAGAACGTCACAGAGCTGGTTCTTAACCTGTCTGCCACTGTTAGCCAGCTTCAGAGAGAGGTAGAGGATTGTCCTGTCTCTTTGCTCCATTTCAGCCAACTGTTATGGGAATAATTTATTGTCTGTGTCTTAAAGGGCTACAGTAGTGCGTGTAATAGAGTATTGTGTACAGTAGGTCATTAAGTACCTGACCTGGCATAGAGAGCAGGAAACTATGGAGGCTGTGACTTGCAGTTTCAGATTTCTACGAATTTTCTTACAATTCCTAGCAGTAATTGTCTATCTTCATGAACGTCGTGCATTCTGGAGCCAATGACATATTATACACTGTGAATAAACAATGTGAGTGCTTGTGTGGTTAGACAACACCAAAACATGCATGATTACTTCTTATGTACTGACAGAAGTGTGGTTTCTGTAGTTTGAGGGGTATATCAGTCTATTAACTGAAAGGGTTGTTCCATTGCTTGATGCACTGGTATGGTGCTCTGTCATGTGAATTGCTGTCTTGTGCTCCGTTTTGAGTCCAATGCCTATTCTACAGGTGTCCGACTGGCAGAATTACCTGGTCATCTCCCTGGTGCTGTGTTTGTCCCTGGGCCTGCTGCTTTGTGTCCAGCGCTACCGCAACTCTGCTCCACTACAGAAAAGGCCAGATTCTTCCATTCCCAAGAGCAACCACTACCCAAGCCCAAAGAGGTATTCTAGACTTTAATCAGTGTATCAGAACCTATTTGCATCTCTAACCAAGAGGGTCACTTGCTTGTATGTCAAGGTTTGCTTTTACCCTATGATAAGACAATGGTCTCTCAGTCATAAATATCTGAAACCTGCTGAGTGGGTTTTACAGTTTTGGGAAGTATTGGCATATTGCAACCTCTCATCTTACAGTGCTGCTGGAAAACTGACAAATGAAACTAGCACAGTTAGGAGTGTCATCAGTGTGACTACATCCAGCATGGGTCTGATGATATTGACTTATAAATTAATGTAACTTAATATTAATGGGATATTCAGAATTCTAAATATTTAAAAGTAAATGATCAAGGTGATTTGGTGATCTTGGCTACAATTCCACATTTTTAAATATTTCTAGGAGTTATCAATATGGGAAATATCACAATTACAACAATTTCTAGAGGACTGATTAACTCTGTAATTTATAAATCTTCCTTTAAGTCTGCTCCCTCTCTTTGACATTTGTTTAAACCAGGATTTTGAGTTATTTTTTCCTCTTTATTGTAAAATTGGTATTATGAGGGGCTGCTAAATTAAAAAATGTATTTTTTTTCATAGATGTTTCTCTTCATATGATGACATGAGCCTCAAAAGAAGAATTTCTTGCCCTCTTGTGCGGTCAAAATCATTCCAGTTACCCACTACAGAAGGCAAGTGTGGCATTTGTAGTTTGTGACTCCGCTAACTATTATATAGTGGCATAATACTGAGATAATGTATTCTTTTTACAACAAAATAGTTACAGTAGTTGAGCCGCTTTAGCATTATGAATTGCTTTCAGGTTTTGTTTTTCTGCTGTTTTATCTTGGAAATTACTATACTGTTCAACCTTAGCTGTAGGGTTTTAAGATTTTTTTTGGATTAATGATAATGTATTAACTGTACTTCTTATTTTCTAAGAAAAACTTGTTTTGACCCACGGCTTAAAATGCATTAATATTACTCTTAATTTTTAATAAACAGACCTGAACGAGTTTCTAAGTTTAGGTTAAGTTAGTGAATGGAAATGGTTTGATCTTGGTATTGCCTTTATAAAGGACTTGGGAGGCAAACCACCACATGGGTCTGTAGCTCCACAGGTTTTTTCTGTCGCTGCACCAGGCTGAAGAGCAGCTGCCAAATGAGCTGAGAAGTCTTGGAGGTTTTGCTATAAAGATTAAATGAACAATCGCTTCATAAAACCTGGCATTAAACATGAAACATCTATTTTTTTCACATTCTTGCCTATTTTCAGTTTGCCTGTAAGCTTTTAATATGATCATTGCCAGGTTCTTTTCATAAAGACAGTGCCTGCTGATTAGATGCACACTATGTACAGAATTTACAAAACTCATTCCTGGTGCATGTAATACATTTGCAAGTAGTAACTTGAAAGGAACCAGAGTATTTACATTATTGTTATGGATATTTTATTTTGAGCTTATGTTATGTAACAGTATGGTCTTTGGATGAGGTTGGAAAAAACCCATCTCTTGCAACATTCTTTTTGATGGTTGTCCATTTATAAACATGCAGACCAAGTTTAAATCTTGAGTGAAGTAATTTCAGAAGCATTGTCTTAAGAATTGAGGGAATATTCTCTTTCTTCCTGAAGCTAAGCAATTAAGTTAGTTGTGAAAACATACTGACGTGAAAGTCTTTACAGGATCAGTCTGCATCTAGAAAGTTTAACTGGTGCTAATTGTCTTGTTAAATATAGACACCCACAGAATAAAACTGAAGAACAATATAAAAGGAGGGTGGTGCACATATTCTGCCACTCCTCCACTGTGTAGATTTTGCACCATGTGATTTGATAAGGGAGGGGCTTTGTGTATTTATATATTATTATATACCTACTTACTACTTGCAGGTGCACACTTCCATGCTTGAATTTTGTTCTTCTGTTTTCCATACCATCATTTAACTTCCATCCCTTTCTCCCCTTTTTAGTAGGTCCAGATGACTTGTACATTGTAGAACCTCTAAGGTTTTCGCCAGAAAATAAAAAGGTACAGTGTCCATTTAAGTACTGATGTTTGGTTGGCAAACATTGAACTGCTTCCATGTCAGGCTTTGTACTAATCACTCAATCAGGTTGTGGCTCAATATTGTTGCTTCTGGATGTTAAAATTAACCACTTCACTGCTGAATTAAGGGAGTTACAGTGCAATTCAGTGCAGATAATGGTAAAATAGTCTGTACAACAGGCACCAGGGGGCACTGTAACTCTGTAACTTAAACTGTACTTGGGGCTAAGTGTTACATTCTTCTGTAGTTGTTTAATTTAAAAAAAATATCTTGATAAGCTGTTAACTTTCCAGCCATATTCGATATTTAGAGTCAATTTCTGTAAATTCTAATTGGTTACATTCCTTAAACATATTATACATTTCTGGATGTTGTTGTGGTCTTTTTATTCTCCAAAACCTCTGTAATGTTTGAATTGGATTTGTTTTGTATAGCATTGAGGTGGTTAAGGCTGCATTGAGTATTTTTTGTGTTGTTTTACTTTGACAGTTTAAGCTTACATTTGCTTTTCCCTTTTGTCTTCTTACAGAAGAAACGTTGCAAAATGAAAAACGAGAAGATCGAGACGCTGAAGTCTTCTGTCCTCGTGCCACCAGTAGCTAATGGAGGGCCAAAGTGCAATGGCCCCGTGCAGCCCCATAGCACCTTCTTGCCCTCGGGGGAGGTGTGCACATCCTCCTACAAGGGCCCCCCATCAGAGGGCAGTTCTGAGGGCTCGTCGCACTCCGATGAGTCCTACTTCTGCGGGATCTCCGCTTGCACACGCCTCTGCAATGGCCAGCCCCCGCCTAAGACCAAGACAGAGAAGAGGGCCTTCAAAAGAAGGCGCTCCAAGATGACAGAGCAGGGAAAGTGTGTGGGAGATCTTCTACAGACTCGCACTGGCGCCATTGCCAGCCTGCAGGACATTATCATCAAGGGCAACAAGGAGATGACTGTGGGTACGTTCGGAGTCACAGCTGTGTCAGGACAGGTCTGACGGCTGATTTCAGTGACTTTTGCAGCACTCCTCCTCGCACTCCGCCCTTCTGTTCTTACCCCCTCTCACAGAGGCCAGGCTGGCACTTGACGCTCCCTGGTGTCCCTGCAGATGGGGGGGTACAGGATTCGCAGTGAGGACGGGGAAAAGCTCCTTTCTATCCGAAGACGGATTTTTTTTTGGTTGAAGAGAGAGGTCAAGTGGAGCCAATCATTTTGACAAGAACAGGCACTGGCCCCGTTTCCTCTCAGAACTCTCCTCGATCTCCTTGTTTATGTGCCTTTTGTCTGTTTAGGGTTTTGACAAGTTTTAACATTTTGGGAGAGCGAACATATAACAATTCAGTGTGGGTGAGTTTTTCTACAAGACTGGGAACGTGTACTGTTAGTAGGTACTTTGGCAGATAGCATTCCGTCACACCCCTGGTTTTACAGAGGCACAATGAGGGAGGCTGTTACAAGTTCTGTGTTGGGAGAGCTATGGGCTTGCCCAGTTTGAGTGAGGACTGAAGCTGCTCTTGCAAATTAAACATGTCGCAGTGATGCACAACTGTGCAGCAGTACAAGCAGTTTTGCTCCTTTTGTTTTTGAAATTTTTAGTTTTCTTAGTTCAGATTTAACACTATAGGAGTTAGATATTTTTGTGGGGGACCAGGGTGTTCTGATTTCTTTTAGTAAAAAAAAAACCCAAGTCTCTATAAAGCAATCTGTACACACACCAAAGACTAATTGGAGCAGAGAATATTATATTATTACACCAAATGTATATGTCTAAATTGGTTAAATGCCTTTCAGTTAAAGGACTTAACTTTTTTATTGGGAATTACGAACAAAGATTATGCAATATTTCAAAATGAATTCTCCTTATTTTATGATTGAAGTAATTTGCATCCTCAAGGCTTTAGATTGAACATGTACGCATTTATCACTTTTCTTCCATACTCTAGGCTGGGGAAATAAGTGACCATTAAGGATAAATCTGCCCTTTTCTGATCATGTGAATATGATGGATCTGGTTTAAAGCCAAGGCTCAAAGCCCTGTTCTCATTCCTCATACACTTTCTGCATCAGCTTTATGATAAGGAGCTAAAATGCAAGAAAATTGTATTAGATCTTAAGTTGACGTTATTACCCAAAATGCCAATATAGATGTTGCACTCCTAACTTTATTTGGTAACATGATGAAAGGAAAGATGAAAAACACTGATTTATTTTAAACTGAATTGGAGAGTAAATACAACTTGCCCTTATTTGGAAGTATTGTCTTCATTCATAATCACTCCTCTGATAAGAGAGATGCACCAAGAGTACATTTGTAAGAGACCATTGTAAGAACCCCTTTTATACCTGACTTATAAAACTTAAAGTTATGGTAGCTTACAAAGGTTTATATACATTTTTTATTTTGAACCTTATAAAGAAAGATACATTTTTGTAAGATGGTTCTTGAATCTTATTTGACAACAGCTTTTATCTTGGTGTGCAATATGTCCACCATTCTCTACAACATAACTAGTTTCACCAGAATAACAAAGTAATTTTGATGAAACTAGCACATTTGAAAAATTTGTGTCCCAAACCTTACTGATTTGTCAGCTGTTTTGAGTGGTAGCAGCAGTGATGAATTTGTTTGCTTTGTCTTCTGGTGGTAGTGTTACTCTTACTTAATAGAGGCCCTTGGAAAAAGGAATGGGTGTAGGTAGAAAATATTTCTAATTTATTTACATGTGAAACATTTTGGGAGCATTTAGATTAAATGTTATGACCATACCTGCATTCTGTTTAGTCAGTTAATGATATTAACACGTACAATGTTGGGGATGACAAAGTGTAGTATCTGAAATGCAGTTTTGTTCTATGGATAAATTATGTCCTACTGTGACACCCCAATCTCCAGTCATCTCGTTATACCAGCAGCCTAGAGCCCACCCCTGCTGGAGGCAGATACAGAAGGTGCCAGGAGTTTTCTGCTGCTTCTCTATTTATTTTATTTATTTAAATAATTACACATCTCCCTCTCAGGACTCCATAGGGTGCCTGGGACAGGGCATGGCAGATTATTCTGCAAGTTCCATGTTTGTTTATAAAAATTACCTTGTGTTGGAACATTTCGAGTACGGTTACACACACCTTTCTTATGAAATCTCTAGTCCAGGCTTGCAATGGTCTTGTTCTGTCAGGTGTGTCTTTGAGTGGTAGCCTGCTGTGATCATCCACGAAGACCGTTTGATACACGAAACACTGCTTTGTCAGTCACTTGGTTTCGATTAATCACTTTGTAGCTGTTCTTCCTCTGGGAAATATTGAACTGTATTGTCCTACTCTATTTTGAGATCACATTCTGGTTTTCACGATTCCTGCTTCATATTCTTATTTTCCTTTTTAGCATAATGTTTAGTTTTAATGTCAAAGGATTTTCTTTCACGTAAGCTACATGTGTGCTGGCACCTTTTGTTTTTGGTTTATTTATTTTTCTGTAATCTAGATGTAATGATATTCAAAGAGTGGACTGTTGTGAAAGTGGTAAATCTGGAAAGATGTTGGTGTGCCTTGTCCTCCTCTGCATTCTCGAAAACCACACATCACCCACAGTGATTTGGAATGACCAGTGTGATCACTGTAGTCTACAGTCATTCAGATTTGCTCAAAAATCTCTCCTGTACCTCATATTAAGCAGTTACTTTTTAATTTTAGAGTCTTTGTTTTGTTAAACCCATCCAGTTTAGAATATCTTGCAGCTGTAAACCCTTTTTCCCCACACAGGAGAATTGGAAAGTGTCTTGAGTATGTCTCTGGCAGCACAGTCCCGTACCAGAGGATCAGCTCTGACTGGAGGGGAGGTTCATCCCTCACTGCCAGCATTACAAGCCTGCTGGCACCCAGGAGGCTTCAGGGGTCTCTTCCATCCCACCCTGTCATCAGTGGCACTTTTAGGAAACTGTGCCACTGCATGGGGAATCCTGGCCACAGTCAGGCTGAAACCCGTGCTCCTAAAGTCTAAAGGCTTCCTCAGAGGAATGCCTTTAGACTTCCTTTGTCTATATAGAGTGTTGTAACTGGCCATTCATTTCTATGACTGGTGTCAGTGTCACTGCCTCACTGCCAGTGAGTTCTACAATAACATTTTCTGTAGAATCCCTGATGGAGTAAAGGCATAAACCCCAAAGTCATTACTTTTTTACTGTGTAAGCTGTTGGATGAGTTATGCAGACATAGTTGGACAAAGTATATATGAAAGGCTTCTGAGAATATTTTGTAGTTTTAATTGCTAATTTGATGACAGAAGCCATAAAAGGACAGAGGTCCACTCTGCTAAGAGATAAAATTCTTGGTCCCTTTTCATTTAAGTTACATGAAACAAATGTGCACACTGTATCTGACTGGTATGTTCATTAGTTTACTTACAAAGGTAACAGTACACAGCATTGAACAGTAATGAGGTGAAGAGGCCAATCTGTATCTTGCATTTACAGAAGAAATTGGGACCAAGATTGTTATTTCTTAAATGTTTTGTTCAATGTAATGTTCAGTTTCATTTCCCTTTTGAAGGTAATTTGTAAGGTCATTCTGAACTGGCATTCAATGTATTGACCATTCGAGTTATTTCATGAAATGTGGTCCAAAACACATCCAAAGTAGGGACTAATGTTTGTTTAATTATAATACCTTTTGCACCTCTGAATGTGTATGTCTGGAAAAAAAAAGCTGCAGGTGTGTGTATGTGAGAGTGTGTTAAGACTTTTTAGAAATTGTACATTTGTGAATGTGTATTCTTTTACATAAAGATAATGCTGTTGTGAAGGGTTTAAGTTGTGACTCAGTGTGCACTTTGATAACTACTCATGCCTTTACTTTTTCCACTTACCTTGTAAAGTGCTTTTTTCCGAGCTGCGTTTGTGGGACTCTGACCCTTACCCTGCCTCTGCGTTTCAGGCCCTGCATTGGGCCTGCTAGTGTGATGGGCCACTGGGAACACTGCTTGTTTTTTGTTGTCTGTGAGGATGAACTGCACAGTACTATGGAAGAGGAGCAAAGTGTAACTACAGAGATGTAGTGCCATTAGAAACTGTGAATTTCTAAATAAAATGAACACTTTATTGTCTTTCACCCGAGTTTGGTACTTTTTTCTCTTTTCTCCCCATTTTAAAACTGCATCCCCGATTGCAAAATCTAGTACATTTTTTTCCTAACTACCAGTACTAAGTAGATGAAGCAGTCAAGGAGTTTTATGCTAGAACCAGCTCTTGTAGTTAAATGTCAAACAGGAATGGGACATAAATTAGTCATTTCTGACATCCTGGAAAGGGTGAGAGATTGTTGAGTTTTATAAGTTCATTGTTACAATACTTTTAATATTTAAAATGTACAGTGTTCTTTATAAACACTTTTAGTGAAATATGAAGTACAATATAAAATCCAGCAGCATACAGCTAGAGAGCAAGTGATGTTGGTTTTATCCTAAATGGCTTTTGATTCTTTACATATTGCTGAATTATAGCTGTTGAGTAAAACTAAAAGATTTACCTTAAGCAACATTTTACAACAAATGTCACACTACATTAAAAATTGTTTAAAGATAGACGAGCTGATAAATTGTTGTTGGTACATGAATTTATTTTAAATAAAGTGAGCCCCTATGTTTTAGAAATATACTTTCTAATAGCCCCATGTTTGTATTAAGCTTAAGGAATGCTTCTGGAAAGGTGTGAATATTGTATGTGTGCCAGATTACATCATAAAACTAATTTGCTTTGCATGTAAAACTCTAATGATGTCAACATGAATTATGACTTAATAATGGAAGTATTCAAAACCACTGCCCCTCAAGAGTGACTGATTTCAGTAAAGATAGTCAAGTGAGAAATTGGAACTATACATGTACTTATTTTTCCATTTGATGTCTCATTGCAAGCTTCAGTATTAATGTAAGAGTTTTAATTTTGCCAATATTCTTTTAAATGAAAGGAAAATAATTGTAGCTTAAACTTCTATATTTGAAAAATTATAAAATGTTGGTCCCCTGGTTTTTGTTGGAACCCAAGTAGTCAATTTGTTTAGACATAAGATTTTGCAATGATCTTTTGCTGTCAGTTTCTTAAAACACACTTAAATTACAGTTACCTTGAAATACTTCAGGACCTGGTTACAGCCTTACAGTTGTGCAGCTACTTAAGCTATTGTATGTAACTGAGATACTGGTTGGGAAAAAAACCCCAGAAGGTACCAGGCCCACTAGGAATTGCAGTTGGGAGACCAAAATGACTTTTAACGTGTTAACATGGAAGTAAACCATGTACTGTATATGTGACATCTACTGAACTGAAGAACTTTCCTAAATTAGGAGGACTGTGCTCTAGGGGTGAGACCTTAATCAGAGGTCCTGATTGCTTTTTCATTCAACATGCCATAGTGCATTATAAACTAAGTGCCTGATGAACATCCACTTTGGGCTTTCACAATCTGGCCCTCCAAAAGTTTCCACTCAATCCGATCATGGATGTAGCTTTACCCTTCTGTACCTTCTCATCTGCATCGGGGTCAGTGTCACCTGACTGGGGTCCTACCTGGCTGACTGCAGCTGCCTGGGGCGCATAAGGAACCTCAAGGACCTGTCTCGGACTGGGCTGTGAACTGCCTCTGTGCTGCCTTCCCTACAAAAACCTTGAATCTGTCAGATATCTCTATCTCAATGTAGTGTGTAAGTATTCCTACTTTTTCATAAAATTCGAAAGTTTACTAGAACAGCCCTGTTCAAAAATACAATTTGTTGGGTTTTTTATTTAAAATGCAGTTTTAAAGATAACTGAAAAAGGCTATTTTAAAACAGATGAGTGTGCGGGTTGCAAGCTGCTGATATTGATTGATCGACGGATGGGAAGGCTGTAGTTACAGTATGCAACAGAATGACATTGTCAAACCACTACTTGGTGTGTTTTTAAGCCACACGTGTCTCCTTTGCCAGCGTGCTTTTTATGAGAATTGGGTCAGACTTAGTCAAAACAAATTAAGGAAGATGCTCAACCTGCCTATTTAGTCAGCCTTCCTTATAATTCACATGTAAACCTTCTGTAATCAGACATCTATCACTGTGTATTTAAGTTTTGTCTGATAGAAAAAAATAACCAGTTTCCTGTTCTGTCCTGTTGTGTTCGGTTCACTCAGCTGGTCTTGACTGAACTACTTGGATCTGTTAAATTAATTCCCTTTACCATTTGAAAGACCTCAGACAGATCCCCTTTGAATTGTTTTGCACAGAGACTGGAGACTCCTTCCGCAAGTCTTCTTGTTTTTCTGCATACTTGGTCCATGTTTCTTCATCGCTTGTATAAAAGGGTGATCAGAACTTACTGCAGTACTCCAGACGTGTGTAATTAACACATTGTACAATTTCAGCGTACTGTACCTCCGGGGACTGCCAGAATGCTACACCTGCTATAGTGAAATGATAACCCAATATGCAAAACTGTACTCAAATTGAATTTATTTTACTATGCATCTGCCCACTTCTGAATCATATCCAAATCTTCCTACTTTGACAGAATGTTCTCTTCTTTGTTGGTCATCCCTCCAGACTTTATGTAATCAAACCAGAAGGTCTGACCGTCCACTAACATGCATCGTCTTTACACAGCCTGTAATCTATAGGCCGATCTCAAAAGGCACTTTCTGTGGTGCCTAAAGAACTGTGGTTTGGGGAAGCAGCTACTCGTGAGCTTTTACCGCAGCACCATAGAAAATGTCCTCACTAGTGGCATCGCTGCGTGGTGCAGCAATACTACCGTGCATGACAAAGACGCACTACAAAGGGTTGTGGCAGCGGCACAGAGGATTATAGGATGTGGTTTACCATCAATCAGTGAGATCCACACCATGCTATGTTGCATTAAAGCCCAATCCATCATTCGGGATCCCAACCCTCCGGGCTGTTCTCCCCCCTGCACTCTGGCACCATTGAAGAATGGACAACTAGGCCTCAGAATGGTATCCATGCAATGCCTCAGAACTCAATGCACCTCTGCACTATGCACTTTTGACTTAGACTACCATTTTATTTTCACTACCACATATTTATTGGTATCTGCAATGTGTTTATTGTTCTGGTTTGACATGTACTGTGTGGTGTTGTGTGTTACCGAGTCGTCTGCTGTACCGTGAGAGACCAGCGTGAATGAGAATCCCAATGTACTGTACATGTGGCAGTAAACTCTGCCTCCCTACCTCTAGATACAGAGCTCGGGTCCCAGCACTGAGCTCTTCAGGATCTCTGTGCCTTCGCTCTGGGCCCAGGCATCAAGATATTACTTTGTGTCAGGAGCAGGACCTACAATACATTCATTCAAGCTGTTCTAGTTCCTTTTTTGCTCATCGCCTTTGGCGTGGGGTGGTCTCAGTGCAGCAGAGCATACTACTGCTACAGCAAAACGTTTTGAAGTATCCTTTCTTCTTCATGACGCATCAGTGTTTCAGAGAAGAAGCTACACTTTTGCTTTCTGCATTTCCTGTTTCACATTCGTTGCTTTTCTGATGCGTTTCATAGTTCAACCCAGAGACCAGACTGAAAAGACGGGGTCAGCATTTCTCTATGTTACAATCAAAAAGTCAGTTCTGGTTTTGCAATAAAGCTGCTTAGTCAACAGCAGATAGGTATGAGGTGCCCGTGAGTCACACGAACTGGGAGGATTTTGTTTCCTGCCGTGAGTTTGATGATTGAGATACGGCTAGCTAGACTGACAGCCCAGTTTGAGGGAGCCCACAAGCCCTGTCTGAGCTCAACTACCACCCCCCCCCCCCAAAAAAGCAAGGGCCGCCCAAAACTCCGGGAAACGGCAAAACTGGCCCCGCCCGCAACCGAGGGCTTTACTCATAAAGTGACGAGTTCAAGACTCGAAAGCCCCAGCTGATCCAACAGACTCTGCGAGCCCAAAGCCCAGGAATTGTGGCTTCCCGTTTCCATCTGTGCTTTCTAAACTGATGATGGCCACCTGGCTGAGACGGTCCCGCAGGTTGTTCTGAACGAGCTCCCTGAGCAAGCGGCCAGTTATAAAAACCTCAGGGCGGTTTGCCCATTTGCAATGGGCAAGTTTCGGAGACCTGCACTTATTTTCATTTCCGCACCATGAACAATGTAATTTTGAATGAAGAAATAATCCAGGTGCTGATTTTTTTTACCATTTTTTTGTTTTGCATTGTCATAATGTACGTTTTTCTTTGTGTTTCAATTCCACTCATTCTTAATCATCCACAGGAAATTGAATGATGCCTGACCTGAGAAGCACCAATGTTAATAAAGTTATACGGCTGGTCAAAGACAGATGTAGCGAGATACTAACTGTTTGAAATGTTTGCAGCCCCTTATTTCCAAAGAACATTGTAACAACATACCACCTTGCTAGCATTTCAGAAAAGTGTATTTTAATCACTGGGCACGTACTGTGGGGACATCATATTGAAACCACTGAAACATGCTCAGTTTCTGATCTTTTTCAAAAGCTGACAGAGGAAATGATTACATGATTATAACCTCATTTTTTTTTTGGGGTGGGGGGGAACGCATTGTGTTTTTTCCAGATTTCAGAGAGATGGTTAAGCCTCGGTGAGCAATGTGGTCTCCCCACAGCGATTCTTCGGGTGCGAAGAAGACGTCAGCGAGCGAGAGAAGTGCAGTGCCTTCCAGTAAAACGCCTGGAGTCCCGGCCCCGTCTGCACAGCGAGTGATGGAGCAGGTGGGGGGACTCGGGCTGTGCCACCCGCTTCCTCTCGCCCCCCGCTGCTGCTGCTGCTGCTCTCGAACAGCGTCTGAGAAACTTGTATCCGCTGTCGAAGACCCGCCTTTCATGTGGCTCAGCTCCCTTCCTCCTGCTCTCCGGGCTGCAGTGAGCGAAACCCGTGTGGTATACATCAGCTCTGTTTACAAACATCGCCTGGCAGAGCCGGGCCGGGAGAGCGTGTGCGCGGAGCCAGGAAGTCAAAACTTCAGAGACACAAAGTCGGGTTTGGTGGCCACTCTGGCTCATGCTGGTGTACAAAGATCCCTGCTCCCACACCTGTAAGGACAGCTGCCAGGTGTCCAGGCGCTGCTGCGCGGGTTTCAAGCCGCAGTGATCGAGTACGGAGCTGAGCCAGGGCTTGCTGAGGCATCACGGCCGCCACGTGTCTGCAGACATAAGACAAAGCCAGGCCTGTCACAGTCCTGCACGAGCTCTGGCTGTAGCTGATTCGCCGGGCACCGTCTGTGTGCCGCTTATGTTTTTGATACTCCAGTGGCACACCAACAAGCAAACTTTCTGTGGGGCTGCTTAAAGAGCATCCACTTCCTTTCCCACAGCACAGCATATTAAAGAAAAGGCCTGATCTGCTACTGTTTTGCAGTGCTTTATGGTCACGGGACATACCTTGCGCTAGGCCTTGCCAGTACACAATGGGGGTCCGTTCATTCTCTAATGTTGTGGCTCCTAGAAATTAGACAGTCAGCTTTCCAATGATTTTTAGCTGAACAAGCCCAGACCACATTTTAGCTCATCACCATTGATGCCTGTGTACAGGAAATGCAATGATGCTTCATTGCTTAAACAATAGTTTCCCTGTGGTTGCACGTCAGGTCTCCCAAGCTCTTTGCTCTTGTGCAGGTTCATTCGAGGTCAGATGTGATGACAGGAACTGTCTTTAGGGTGATTTCAGAAGGGTTACCCATCACTGAGGTTAAGTGATCATCAGGCGGCAGCTCCCTCTAACCTGAGCCTCTGTGATGCCGGCGTACAGAAACTGCTGCAAAACCTGAGACTGTTTTTGGCTTTAGGGCAAGGATTCGCCTCTTATACGTTAAAAATCTCAGTTTGGGGTCATAAGTGTAAATTGCCACTTTGCTCAGAATTTGCGGTTTCCATCTTCCACCCTGTTTACCTCTGTACAGCATTTTCTACTGAATGACTTTCTTTAAAAATTAAAACCCCACAGAGCTCTGAGATTAACAAATGTACAAAAGAAAAATCTATTCAGTCCCTGCGAGGAGACAATTTTTGTAAAACGTAGAGGGAAAAAAAACGAACAAATTAACATGATTTGAAGTCCACCATTTAAAAAAAGACGGCTTCCCAGCCCCTATAATTTCTACACTAAGGACAGTTGTTTAATATTTGTGATACCATGCAGACTGAAATCACACACTTGTGGTAATGCAATCTGAGTCACCAATTTCCATTATATTTCAAAAAGCGTTTTTTTTTTATGATTCTTTGGTGAAAAGTACGAGACTGGGAGCTTGTCTCAGTGCAGACTTGCTTACAGGAAATGCAACCAATATTTTCTACACAAGTGGCAATTTCCCTACCGCTGTACGTCAGCGTGTCCAATACCTGCCTAAGAATGCTTTCTAAGTCATGATGTCACCTCATGACTTCACACAAATCGGAGATGAGTTACTCAGATTGTGGGGAAGCCATTCAGCCCGTTTCTTCTTGAGCTCCACAGCTGCAGAGCTCTCTCTCCCCACTGCCTCCTACATGTAGACCAGTGCTCTTCCAATATCTGTGCACCTCCTGCAGACCAGTGCTCTTCCAGCATCTGTGCACCTCCTGCATTTGAAAATCATTCGCATGTCTGCACATTGTTGTTAGAACAACTCTCGACCTTCACTGCTCCTGCTTAGAGTTTACAATCCTCCTTGAGCCCCAACATATCCCGTGTCCTGCAGTGCCTTCTTGTGCTCAGGGTCAACTTAAAGGAGGCATTTAAAGGTGTTTGCGTGCTTTTGTGGCCAACTGCTTTGGTGGGTTGAATTAGGACTGGGAACGGGAGGCACATGTTTACAAGCAAGGTTGTGGGATTCTGGATCAGACACCCGAGTCCTGTGGTTAATGCCAGTTCCTGGGGATGTCCTGCAAGAAACAGATCCTCAGATCAATGGGTTATTGTCAGCTGTGGTTACAACCCTACTCTTTTGGAGAAACACACTGGGATTTTTAATGACCACAGAGAGTCAGGACCTTGGTTTTACATCTCATCTGAAGGACGGCGCCTTTTTATTGTATAGTGACCCCCTCACTATACTGGAGCATTAAGACCCACACAGACCGCAGGGTGAGCACCCCCTGCTGGCCCCACTAACACCTCTTCCAGCAGCAACCTTAGTTTTTCCCAGGAGGTCTCCCATCCAGGTACTGACCAGGCTCACACCT